TACCTATATCAAGCATCAGAGAATTAGACAAACTGGAAGTGATCTTGTCATGTAAACTTAGGAAACTCTGGTGAAAGTCTAAAGGTAYAATGTTTTGTTGTTTTTGTTTTCTGGGTTTTTTTTTTTGGGGGGGGGTACCAGGGATTGAACTCAGGGGCACTCGACCACTGGGCCACATCCCTAGCCCTATTTTGTATTTAACTTAGATATATGGTCTCACTGAGTTGCTTAGCAAGCACCTCACAGTTGCTGAGGCTGGCTCTGAACTCACAATCCTCCCGTCTCGGCCATACAATGTATTTTGAAGGAACTTTTTTTCTAGATTTTRTCAACAACTCATCTGGAGTACAGCTTATATGAATAGACACTTTGAGAAGGATATGCTAAGTTAACAACTTTAACAACAATGGAGAATCAGAGATTTCTTATTTAATTGAACATATGTGACTAAAGAGATGAAGCTTTTAAAATCTGGGCTTTTATACTCCTGAAGGAAACTTCAAAGAATTAAGTGCAATCTAAAATAACCAGGGAGGACTAGAACACGGGCTTAACTCTGTGCAAAAACACTGTCACTGTGAAAAGTGGATCACAAGAGACCATRGACTCCCAAAGCTAGGGATTTTTGTGTCTAGTTCACTGCCTTTTAAAGTGCCCCTTTACAAAATAAAATACAAATAGGGAGTTTTGTGTCTAGTTCATCCCCACTTAGAACAGTCCCTTCCACCTTGCAGACATTTAGTATTTAATGAATGAATCAAAGAAGTGCTCCTGGTGCATGGTAGAAGTCAACTGAAATTCACTTCATATAACAATATTTAATAATCTCCCGCCAACTGGAGAAGCCATTACTGAATGRCTAATATGTTACAAAGCTAACTATACCATACTGTACACTTTTTAAGGGAAATTATGGTTTTAACTTTTAAGAAGCTGGACCTAGTAATTTTGAAATTGATATTATCTGCTACTAAGGAAAGAGTGGAGTAGTATTATGGGCACACAGCATTCCATGCATTTTCATCTTCTTAAAGCCCTCTGCACACAGAAAGAGAACATACAGGTGCTGCTTCCTTCAGACCCTGGCACATCACTTGAGGCTCCTATGCTAGCATCTGCCTAGCAGTGCTCACAGATGGAAGCCATCAGTCACCTGTTTAGTGTTCCCACCTTGTCCATCCACCTTCAAATGTAACTACAGTGAGCTGGAGGAGTCAACATCTAGTCTTCCACAGCTAGTGCATCACTCCTCAAGCAAAAAAGGGAAAAGTTTACACTTCAGAGGATGGAAGTATCCAGGCTGCTTCAAGGTTTCACAGACTTCTTAATGATCATTAGCTCCAACGATACCAAGACAAAGACAGCWAAAAGCTGCAGAATCACAGGTGGGCTGTCACACAGGAGACTACAGCCCTGGGCACTATAAATTATATTTGTTCACACCAGATTAATTGCTTAGAAGGATCAAAATGCAGTTGACAGCTACATATTGATTTTCTTAATAATAAAGCACAAAAAAAWGTGAATAAATTATACTTTTATTTTTCACAAGCAAAAAAAGATAAATGGCAACTTGCCTTTGTAAAAGACATTAAAGAATATCAGAGTAATAAGCTACCCATCTCATAGAGACAGTAGCCTCAGAAAGCCTATTATACAGCTTTTAAAGAAAGTCTTATTAAATAAATCTAAGAATAATATACTTTTAACTAAATGAACAAATCAAAAATGACCACACAYACATACCACACAAACAAAATCATATAGAACCCACAAAGTGGTAATGTTTAGAAGGAAAAAGGAAAAACGGGAAGTTCTTTATTAAATTCAAGGAGGCTCAAATCCTAAAACAGAAAAAAAGAAATATATTAAAACACAATATTTTAAAGAGTATATTATAGTTTGTTTCTTTCTYTCTCCTTCGTGGTCTCCAGTCTCGGATATACATTTTAATGCTTCATTTACTCAAGATATTTTTTCTTACTCTTGGAGCAATTTTATATACCATAAAGAGATCACAAGACTGACAATGTAGGTATCTGCCTTCTTAATGGGCTCTTCAAGTTTTATATTTCAAATCTGATTCTCGAATCCCAATTAAATGTTTATATAATAGGTTTCTGAAAATGGAATTACATTTTAAATTGCATTTGCTTAATTTTTACACATTATAGTTTAAACACCATCTATATACTTTTGAAAGAGACACAATTTATGGGTATGAATAAGGCACATGAAAATACATAACCCTTCCCACAAAGTATGAAGATGCCCAATACAAAATGATATGGTTGGKGGGGAGTGGGTAGAGTGGGAGGTAAAAAACCACCATGTTACAGTATATTACAGAAGGCCTAGAGTCTAGATTCTGTTYTTCACTAGCTATGTCTCAACTTCCTTAGGTTTTCTTTCTGATAAGAAGCAGCAGATGCATCTCTCAGATTGGAAAACCTTTTTTGGGCAGTTGAGTAAATGTCTCAAATTTTGCAAAGCCCATCACTATTCAATCAGATGGCAATAAAAAAATATTCTATAATCTCACTACAAGAAAAAAATCTACCTAACATTCAAAATTATACTTCATATCTGATTTATACATTATAACATAAAATACAAATGTCTGTTTCCTTCCTGGCCTCCAGAGCATTCTCTGAGATAAGAGACCACTGAGAACTCTAGTGCTATGATGATGGATAAGACATCTAACCTGCTTTTCTTTTGGTTTACCTGTCTCTCTAAAAGCACCTATTAGAGAGTCAACTATTACATAACAAATTCCCTGTACCCTATCTGTTATATAAAACTTCTTCATTATAGAGAATGATTCTACCAGGAAATTTTTCCTGACATTCTACCAAAATCTTGCTGAAAAAAATCTTGCATYGTTGGAAAACTATTTATTAGAATAAACTGATGCAAGGCAACTGAAATAAAAACTTTGTAGTAGAAGAGTCCTAAAGAACAAAAAAGAGTTGAATCCCTAGGACTAACAGTATCTCTCACTTATAAAGGTCTAATAGCTACTTAAACCTTAAGTTAATAAATAATTCTCAYGGGCAAGTTCAAACATTGAGTTAGAATAAGTGCTTTCAGGTAGTTGAGGGTTTGGATTATATCAACTTTCAAGTTTAGGAAAGAGAAAGAAAAAAATAGGTTAAAGATCCTATTGAGGGCTGGGATTATGGCTCAGTGGTAGAGTGTTTGCCTCRTACGTGTGAGGTACTGGGTTTTCAGCACTGCATATAAATAAATGAAAAAAATAAAGGTTCAGCAACATCTAAAAAATTTTTTTTTAAAAAAAGATCATATTGACCCTCAGATGGACAGCAGAAAACATCTGCCACATTGAACTAGCCACAGCACATATTTTCATTATAACATCATATAATAAGTATTTCCTTGGTTTAATTTTATTTCCTCATGAATTTTTCCCTTTTGCCACATTCACTACAAAGAATTTGAACTAGAAACTGTAAGAGCAATGAACATATATAAAAATACTTTTCAAAGGATTAGAGACATTCAGACATATGTAGTTTTCTAAGAAGCAAAATGAGAGGTTTACAACACTAGATCATCTCTTGAAATTTCCTATGGCTCTACAATTCTCACAAATTTATATTAATAATATACTATAATGAAGATTAGATATGCATATCACTTACTGTTTCTCTTTAAATATTTATGGATATAACTGTGTTTTTCTAAATGTTTCATTAGTAATACTAAGTCTTGTAAGTCTGGTTCCATAATAATCTATAATGTAACTACTTCCATCTGAAGGTCCAACAATCTAGAAGAGATAAATTTTCAAAAATTACTCATTTTGAAAAATACATTTCATAAKGCTTTGAATTTATTCAGTAATTAATAAAATTGTTTCAGTAGCCATAAAATTTCAACTCTAAGCAAAACAAAGGTTAACTGAGTGGCTCATGTAGCTCACAGATTCAAAAGAAGAGCTACAAAGTCTTCAAGAACCAAGGCATCAAGGACTGAATTCTGTGTCCCACAAAGCCCCTGGGTTTAGCCTCCCTGCCTGTTTCCTTTGCTCTGCTTGTCTTCATTCTGCAGGCAGGCATTCTCAACTGATAGTTACAAGCTAGAGATTCACATATTCCCACATTAGCTCCTCAAAAAAAGTAAAATATTCTTCCCCAGTGTTTATATACCAAATCCAGAGAAAGACTTTCATTGATCTGCATGTTTTTTATTATCTATTACTAGACAAATTACTATATCCAAGGAAATAGAATTAATAAGATTAATGTTAATCAGATTCCCTGTAGGAGATGATGCAATGTGATTCAAAGTCCTGCCAGAACCACCTGGAATGGAAAATGAAGAGAGAGAAAAAAAACAACACATGTTCACTACAATCATCTTGTCCATTTAACCATATTTGTGACAATTCAATTAACATAATAACTATAAATTATCCGTTAAGGTAGCAATCTTCAAAGTGAGCCTTAAGGTAGATAAAGAGTTACCACAGTGTATGTAGACCCAGTGAGTTCTATTGGTATCCATTTTGAGATACTTGATTACGAACAGATCTGCCTGACATTATGTTACAGTGGAATATTTAGCTAGTTTTCTTTCCCACTTCTCCTCTCTCTATGATCCTCTTTCCATCTTGGTCAGAGTAAAGCATCTCTGATGAGAGCTCACCTGAGTCTCATGATAGCACACTGCTCTGATGTGCAAAACCTCTAAAGGGCCAAATCAAGGGATAATTCAAAATACCAGRCTTAGGAAAATTTCCTCTAATTAGAGATCCAAACATATGTTCTGCTACATCTTGTTCCAAAATTGCATTCCCAATAACATTTAGCTCTTTCTTCTTAAAAATAATCTGTTGAATTTGTAACACATTAATGCTGTTTTCAACCATAACAATTATAATAACTCAATCCAGATAGCTCAGAAAAATTTTTAATTTAATTTTAATAAAAGATTAACAGAAAGTTTTTAAGCATAAAAATACATTAGGTTAAATTTTGTGCAAGAAGGAAAATAGAAATCAAATTCAAAGAGAAAAAGAAGCAATGTGAAATTATAATGATTTGTGAAGGGTTCATTCATGTCTTTTTTAAGAGGATGATATTTTAAATCCTATGGCATTTATAGTCTGTTGGATACATTTAAAAATTGATGTAACAGTTTTATTTAAATATGTCAATATTTGAAATGACWTTCTTTGCAACTATTTAAATTTATGATAAACTTAAATGTCAATTTAAAAATATRTAGAGGGCACAGACTTAAAAAAAATTCTTCTAGGGGTTATTCAACTAGAGTTTAAAGAAAACGACTATAAAGAACTCCCCAGCCGGGCACGGAGGCTGAGACAGGAGGATCCTGAGTTCAAAGCCAGCCTCAGCAACTTAGCAAGACCCTGTCTCAAACTAAAACATAAAAAGGATTGGGAATGTGGCTCAGTGGTTAAGCACTCCTGGTTTCAACCCTCAGTAACAAAAAAAAAAAAAAAGAAGAAGAAGAAGAAGTGTATGTGTTGAGGGAGGACATTTTCTATCTCTGAAAGTGACAACATAAGGAAATGATGCTAACCAAAAAATATGATAATAGCAAAGAAGATAGGAAAGAGGGAGGGAAGAAGATGAAATAGAAGGGGGAAAATTGAATGAAATCCATACTATATCATTTTGCTCTGAATTAAGAAATCTCAGAATTGTCTAACCTCCAGATTGTTGTATGATACAATAAACTCTAATGTTACTTGTACAGTCAACAATCCTAATAATGCATTTGTCTTCAATGTCTCCTACAGATAACTGCCAGATACCCAAAGCACAACACTAGTGGTATTTATGCTAAAACAGTTTAAAGAACTGCTCAAAGACAACCAAATTAAGTCAGTGTGTAAAGCACTGGTCCAAAAGAAAAATTTTGACAAAGCTTATAGCTAACTAGCTCTAGGATCAGATAATTTAATCCTCTCTGGTTCTCAGTTTTTCTTATCCATATACAGGAAAACTTGAAGAACAGATCAAGCTGATCTGTACAGCACTCTTTAAGTTCTAATGTCTTCCAAGACTACAACATTAAAGTACAAAAATCTCAGTTCAGGCATCTAAAAGCTATCATTAATATGGTTTTCTATGAACTAGCCCATTTAAGAAGAAATCACCAGGCGCAGTGGTGTTCACCAGTAATCCCAGAGACTGAGGCAGCAAAAGATAGCAAGTTCAAGGCCAGCCTCAGCAATTTGGCAAGATCCTGTCTCAAAATAAATAAATAAATAAATTAAAAGGTCTGGGGATGTAGCTAAGTGGTAGAACACCCCTGGGTTCAATCCCCAGCACTAAAAGGGGGAAAAAATATGATTCTTCTCCCCTTACTTAATTGTAAAGAAAACTATCTGCTGTAAAGGTTCCAACTATTCAAATCCATATTCCCTTACCAAAATTTTAAAAAATACTTAAATATAATAAATGTTTCAATTATAAAATCTCTTATTATGAAGTTGGTATTACATTGTTAATAATAAAACTACAAATCTTTAAAAATATTCCATACTGGGAAATTTTTCACTTAGTAAATATAACCTATTAGTACATTGATAAGAGAATATGAAAACTAAAATTATTAATTTAGATTTTAATTATACCCCCAGCCACAGGAAACTGGRGCTGGGGGTATAATTCASTAGTACAGTGCTTAGCATAATCAAGSTCCTGGGTTCAATCTCCATTACCAAACAACCCAGCCCGAAGCCAAGTTCCATAATATGCAGTATTTCCAATCAATATTCCTCTCTTCCAGCAGAGACAGACTTTTGAAATCTATAGGGTGAATAAATACCACCTCCATGCTTCATTGCAGTTAATGAGCCAAGAAGTTGCTACAGAGGTTTTCGTCTTAATAAAAGAGGGAAAGAAGAGGGCCACTACACTACGTGGGGCAATTTTCCAAAATATGTATCAATGTCTCTCCATAAGAAGCCTTAATACCACAAGTAAGCAACTGCACATCCTTCTTTACGTTTCCTTAAAAATTACCACAATGTTGTGAACTAACACAGTAGACATGAACAGTTCTGGAGGTCAGAAGATCTAAATCAACATAACTGTTATGTCCTACAGAGACTCTAGGGAAGAATCTTTTACAGTTCTAAGCTTCCACTGATAACTGGCATTCTTTGGAATACTTTGTTTGTAGCCAATTATCAGTTTAATCACATTTGAAATTGGACTTAGGATCTACCAAAGTAATCCAAGACTATCTCTTTATCTCAAGATACTTAACTTTTTCTTTCTCTTTCTTTGTTTTTTGGGGGATGGGGGGTGATACTGGAGCTTTCCCCAGGGCCTTGCACATGCTAGGCAAGCAATCTACAACTAAGTCTGTGATCCTTAAATTAATCACATCAGCAAATACCTTTTTTTCCTAAATAAAATAACACTTGCAGGTTCCAAGGTTTGATATGAACATGTTTTAGCTTATCATATCCTCCTTCTATGAGATGTTGTGGTAGTTTGGAGAGGTTAAGTAAAACTCCCTCTTTTGTGTTATTTCTGATTTTCAACAAGAAATTTTACTGGCA